AAAGAATTATCCCCATTCCCAAATCGGGGGGTTTCATTCCACTGATTCCCCTCTTTGCTGCACTTGGTGCACTCGGTAGCTTGGGTGGTGGTGCTGCTGGAATTGCGCAAGCTATAAATAAAGCTAAAGCAGCGAGAGCACAACTGGAAGAGAACAAAAGACACAATTTGAAAATGGAGCAGGCCGCCTTGGGAAAAGGCCTATTAATGAAACCTTACAAACATGGTCTTGGATTGTTCCTGAAACCGTATCCAAAAAACTGAATTTGAAGCTACCACACCGTCCACTGACCAACGTAGATTTATTGAAATTTGTAAAAAAATTACAAATACCGTATTTTCGAGGGGTGTTTATGTTGGATGAATTTCCTGAGAGAATCAGGAAATATGAGTGTGGCATAGCTAACCTTAACAGAAAAAGTGAGAAAGGCAGTCATTGGGTGTGTTATAAAAAATCCGGACGTCATATCTCCTACTTTGACAGCTACGGTGACTTAAGACCACCTCTCGAACTCATCAAATATTTCAATAGTGATGGTAGCTATAATATAATAAAATATAATTATGATAATATTCAAGAAAACAATCCATATAATTGTGGACATCTATGTCTCAAATTTTTATATAATGAATATAATGTTTGAAATTCAAGTAGTTCATTATTGGAAGTGGTGAGAAATGTCATTATCATTTTCCCTTTCTGGCACCTCCTCAGTTTTGAGTTCTGACTTCAACCCTCCCATTTATTTAGAAGAAAATGCAGAATATGGAATTGGATTGATTGGCTTTGAAACTTTCAATGTCATCCCGAATATTGATGAAAAAAATAATCAATTCGTATTCGGCAACAATGATAACTCTATTACGATTCCTGAGGGCTCATACGAAATCAGTGATCTCAATGAAATTATTTCTTCACGAGTCAAAGATATCGATAAGGATGCAAAAATAAATATCATACCAAATTTCAATACATTGAAAGTAGTCATCGATACAAATAGAAGGATTAATTTCAAATACGACCGCACGATTAGAGAATTGCTGGGATTCAATAATCGTGTTCTAGAAGCATATCAACAACATACGTCTGATAAATCAGTGAACATCTTGGGTGTCAATGCTATCAGTATATATTGCAACTTAGCAACAGGCAGCTACCATAACGGCAAAGAAGCCCACTCGCTATTGTCTTTTTTTCCGACAGTGGCTCCTGGTTATAAGATTGTTCTGAACATCGAAACCGTGATATATTTCAAGATAAGTGACAAGACAATAAATAATATTACCATAAAAGTATTGGACCAAACCGGAAGCCTTGTGAATTTCCGTGGTGAAACAATAACCGTAAGTCTTCACTTGAAAAAACTTTAGAAGCCTGAATGGTTATCAGATATAATAGAATATTCTATCCATATCAGTCCTTCTATAAGGAGGTGAAACCCTTGCGAAAAACATCCAGTATCAGAAAAAATACCAAGAAGTTAACGTCTTCTAATCGTCTATTCCTCAAGTCTTTAGGGTTTACAGTTCTGGTATGATGGATATTCTGAATATACATCAACAACCGCTCATAGACCAATCAGTTCAGGAAATAGAATATCATTCGTATCAACCATTCACACAAAAAATTGATTACAATGATGGAGTGAGAATTCAAGTTCCTACTTTGGATTTGTATACTTTGCCATGTCAAAGTTACTTGTATATTGAAGGACGTTTAACAAAAGCAGATGGCAGCCCTATCGATAAACTCAGATTCATCAATAACGCCATAAGTTTTCTCTTCAGAGAAATAAGGTATGAACTGAATGGTGTCACTATCGATTCAGTGAGAAATGTAGGACTAGTATCAACGATAAAAAGCTACCTTTCATACAGTGCTAACGAGAGTATCGCCTTACAAAACGCTGGATGGTTCCCGAAATTGAATTTTTCCGTCAAAGATGAGAAAATACTAGTTGATAACAGAGGGAATTATTCCGTATGTCTCCCATTATTCCTGCTCCTTGGTTTCTTCGATGATTACAGGAAAGTTATTTTGAACATGAAACAGGAATTATTAGTACTGATTCGAAATAATGATGACCTCGACAGTATCTATTGTACTGATTCCAAGGAAATTCCTAAAGTGCATATCGATAAACTGTTCTGGCGCATCCCACATATTTCTGTCAATATACCTCAACAACTCAAATTCACAAAAGTTGTGGAAAAGGGACAAGATATACTGTTAGCATTCCGCAGCTGGGAGCTTTTGGAATATTCGAAATTATCGACGACGAAATCGTTCAATTGGAATGTAAAAGTTTCAAATTTGCTTGAAACTCCTCGACACGTAATCGTAATTTTCCAGACAGACAAGAAGAGTAAGGTCCAGTCCGACATGAGCAAATTCGACAGCTGCGACCTATCAAATATTCGGGTTTTTCTAAACAGCGACCGATATCCATATAATGATTTACATTTGAACTTCAGTGAGAACAAAACATCTCAATTATATTCAATGTACATGAATTTTAGAGAGTCATATTATGGATTGAAAAAGGAACCAATATTTTCCCCCAAAGAATTTGTCGAATCAATCCCAATGGTCCACATTGATTGTTCTCATCAGAAGGAATCTATGCAGACAGGATCAGTCTCATTGAGAATAGAAATCGAAACTGATAAAGCTGTTCCAGATAATACAACAGGGTATTGTCTCATTTTACATGATAGACTTTTCAGTTATAATCCCCTGACGAAAATTGTGAAACAATTATGAAATTTATTCATTTATATTGTAACCAATTAGAATAAAACATGATCATTTAATGGATTTTATTATTTAAACAAATTCCCCTGATCACATCAGTCAGTTCTTCTCTGTACGCGGCATCATGAAGTTGTTAAGTATAGATATACAAGGATATTCATTATCCAACGGATTTTATCCCAAAGAGGTTACAATTTCCAATGGGTACCAAGTGAACCATTATTTATTCAAACCTGCAGTGCCTTTTTCTGCCTTGCAAGAGTCCGATAAAAAACAGGTTCGTTACGTTGAGAAATATCATAATGGAATTAAGTACAGTTCAGGTCTGATTGATTACGAGGAATTGAATGATATTCTACTGGGCCATCTGAAAGATGTCGATTTTGTGTATGTGAGAGGATACCAAAAATTTGAATTTTTGACTGGACTATTGTCTCCATGTGCCAGACCGAAAATCATAAATGTTGAAACTTTCGATAACATAATGACGACCACTACATTCAAACCGGACATCCCTTTGTGCATGAATCACAATGTGAGTGACGAACAATTTTATTGTTCACTACGTAATTGCAAAAATTTGCATACCTGGATAACAAGTCTCCTACCACAGTGAAATTTTACAATAAGTAACGTACCAAAGTGAAAAATTTCAGTTCACCAAGTTCCGTTAGAAAGAAATGTTCTCAGATCTCATTGATAAACATATTGAGGATTTGGAAAAGTTAAAAACAAGTATCAACATTTTCGAAATGACCAAGCAGATTCGAAATTTGACTGTATCACTATGTGCGCAACAGCAAAGTGGATTGGTGTTGAAGCAAAACAAAAATTTGGTACTGAATTTGGACAACAAGAAACCACCATCAGGGGACGAAAATCTATCTCCAGGTGACCTTCATAAATGGCAGAAAGTCTTCAACAACGAGAAAAGATTTCAAAATCTCAATTGCAATACTACCAAAAGGATAGTTTTATGTCAGAGTAATGAAAATAATGTAAATTGTGTTTAATAAATTTTTCAGAAATAATTAGTGCATTATTCATAATTTAAAGAATTCAACAACAGAATATCTATCTCAGTTCAGTTGAAAATGATACAGTTTATCATCAACAATGGCAACATTAAGTTCGACTTATATAATCTTGTACACGCTTGTCCATAATATATTGTATGTTAATCAACCCTACAATGCCAGAGAAGTTTTCATTTGTTTCGATAACAATGGTACGAAAAATGACAGCTGGCCTTCAACTTGGACTAAAATGCTACCAGTATTAGTCAACAATGGTCATCTACCCGTATTAATGACCGATGTACCACAAAATGCTAGTTTTCATAAGTACAGAATTATATTCCAAGATAATACTGTGGGAGATACGAAAAACTGGCAAAATTTGATCTATCGTGAAACATGTGAGTCAAGAGAGTATTATTCAGATACCTATTCAATTGTTTTGTATCTAATATTCAGTAGTCTAATTATATTATTCTTGTGTTATATTCTGCATGTCATTTTAAAATTTAAGAATATGTATATGAAGGCAACGATTACCTTGGGAGAAAATTAAATTGCATTCCATACACAAATTATTGTTTTCTTCCCATACCATCATACCAAAATAATATCCCGATTCATTATTGGATCACCCTGTATTATGTGTTGTATAGTCATTGTGAAAATTCCCATTACCTCAGATAAAAATTAAAACGTTTTTTGGTGTACACAAATTAGTCTTCCATTCATTATCATTAACATTGAAATAATTCTCGATAAAAAAATAATATTTCTATTCATAATGTGATCAACGTATTTTCAAGTTCAACGATAATTGTATACCCATTAATTTATAATTGGCTTCAATGTGTTGTGTATTTTCCATACCATATCAATTGAGCTACCCGCATAATGTATCAAGCGGTATCTATTTACATATTTAACCTATTTTATCGTTATGTCCGAAGACTTTCGCGGCGACAATAACGAACGGTTTGAAATCGCGATCGCGTTCATTATAGACCTAATTCAGGGTTGGGGACAGTATAGTTTTCGTTGGCACCCCGGGATGCATACCAAATCCAATGTCACTGTATTTCAACAAGTGGACCATTCAGATTGGTTTCTCGACTCCCGGTACTGAAAACTGGTTAGACGTAATGTATCATGTACCAGTTTGCGTCAGTAAAAACGCGCGACCTGCGAAATATAATTGGACAAATCTTTTGTCAGTGCATAGAAAATGTTCCGAAATATACAGGATGTGTCTGAATGAATGTGCAACGAGATTGCAGTGCATAGAAATTGTTCAGAAATAAACAGGATCTGTCAGGATGATCAAACTCTAGGTGAGTATTCTACAAAAAAAAATTATTCAAAAACATTATTGTTAACATTCAATTTGTGGTATATTTGTTGAACCTATCAGAGTTTATCCAATGATCCCAGTGTATCATTCTCTTTGTTGGAAACAAATGAAAATTGGAACATTTATAGTTTCTAAAATAATTTCCATGAGTCGAATACACTCCTATAGAATTTGGTATATTCTTCCTGAATCACCCTGTATGTCAGAATTTGAAATAAGCACAAAGACTATATTTTGGAAAGAACTCACCGATACTTCCAAGCTATTTCATGCCACAGTTCCTTTTAAATGATGTCAAAAATTACCAGTGGGGTAGTAACAAACCCATTCGAGTGTATTGTTGTGGGTATATAATATTGTATGAAAGAAATCATCATATAACTAGATATTTTTATTCAAACCTGAAACAAACGGAATAAATCAGAGGAATGCAAATCGATTAAGGCATGAGAAATTACCTTATAACACACAAAAAAAAATTATTCGTCTTCCGTAAACTGAAACAAAATTTGAATTAAAAATGAAAACAATCGAGAACAAATTATGTTGTTTACCGATATTGCCCATACTAGTAGGGCATCCTGCTCCTCCATGTAAAATATTGTATAGGGCCCCACATTGCCAACGTTAATTAATCCTGGCGGGGCACTTGATCCCCCCAAGATCCTCCCTTGTAGCAAGAGGATCGGTTTGTTCTAAAAAAGACACAGAATTCACTTGATAATGCTGAATTGTTTGGTACCGAAATAATTTGATGAATTCTGATGAAATTCATTTTGTATTTCACGAAAACAATTATCATTGTAGGGAATGCGGACAAAATATCAATCAAAAAACTATTAAGCAAATAGAATAATTTTTTACATGGGTCCGTACTATGAGGTTGAATATTATTTTGATTATTTATTGATAATTATTGATCCTCACAAAAATTTACAATTTCTCCCGTAATATCCTCATGCTTTGTCTCCAAAACACTGATATCAAAAAAGATTCCTGGTTCCTGAGAGAAATCAATATGAAATGGAAATAAATGAATAAAATATACTCACTCTTAAATGACCAGGTAGCATATTCTTAATTGCTTCTATTGGTATCTCTTCTGGGAAAATTTGAACATTGTTTATTTTTTTATTAGGTACAGGAATATTTTCAACTTACCCATGTTATAGCTGCACTAAAAATAATAATAATAATAATTTTACTAGATAATATTCAAAATGAAATGTATAATATAACATGGAAATTCGTTTATATATGGACCCTATTTTGATTATCTTTTCGTACACATTTTTTTAAGGATAATAACTAATCAGCAATACTTACTGACCCAAATCATTATATCGCTAATTTGTTTTTCCAGAAATTTCTTATCAGTCTTATTAGGTCTATTTCTCTGTTTGTGCAATAAGTGCACATTTTTATAGATTGCAGTAATATCGGAGTTAATGGCGCATAATGCTAATTTGCGCGACCAGAATCGCCGTGTACAGGGCGATCCGGAATCACAGGGTGATCCTTCGACACCGTTAAGACCTTCTCGCAATTCATTGAAAAACAGACAATATTCACATTACGAAATCACATAGAACTTCACCTATTGAAAAAGTAGAATTCCAACTCATATAGGGTTTTACCTATTGGGAACTCTAGATCATGAGTTGAAGTAACGCCCTATGTGATCTGTCCCTCTCTTCAGGTTACCAACTCACATACGGGTGTTTACATGTTAGCGTTTTGGGAAAAAGTAGAATTCCAACTCACATAGGGTTTTCAGTACTTCGATTTTTAAATCAAGTACAAGTACTGAAAGGCCTATGTGATTTAGTTCTCTCTTTAGGTTACGAACTCACATAGGGGTTTACATGTTAGCATTTTGTGAAAAAGTAGAATTCCAACTCACATAGGGTTTTCAGTACTTCGATTTCTAAATCAAGTACAAGTACTGAAAGGCCTATGTGATTTAGTTCTCTCTTTAGGTTACGAACTCACATTGGGGTTTACATGTTAGCATTTTGTGAAAAAGTAGAATTCCAACTCACATAGGGTTTTACCTATTGGGAACTCTAGATCATGATCTAGAAGTCCCAATAGGTAAAGCCCTATGTGAGCTGTGGCTCTCTTTGTCTTACTACTGACGACGACATATCCTTCCTGGCAATCTCATATTGAAAATCACGATCACGACCATATCACGATTATCACGACACAAGACACAACATCCAATTATTTTATTCTTCATTTTACATTTACAATTATTTTACAAACCAGCAACCACACAAACAAAACTATTATCATATGATCTGTCAACATCATTTCTCAGAACAGCAGTATCTGTGACCATAGATTTCCTCTTTGCTGTGACCTTTGACAGTACTAACTAGGATTGTATGCATGAACATACGCCATGTACATTTCCTCGATTATACAGCCGAGGCGGCTCGGTGGTCGAGAGCGTGGAGGCGCTGAGTTCGTATGGGGACTCCCACCGAGACATAGGTTCGAATCCTAGTCATGGATGTTTGTGTTTGTATGCTTACCCAACCCCGCACAAGTTTCGACTTATGGGGCGTTCGGTCCCAGTGCTGGGACCAACGAGGTAATGCAAAAAAAAATTTAATATCTCCTAATTTTCATGTAGAGTGGCAACGTCGCTTCGTTCATCACGGTCGACTGCGTATCGCAAACGATAGTTGTGACAGAAGTAGAAATCTGGGCGGAAAAAGGGTATTTTGCCCCAAATCTATTTTGATCTTAATAATATTTTTAATAGTGCTATTCGGTAGTATACCTCAAGCTTTCTTAGTGTTTTAAATATATGCACTTATTTTGAAATCAGCCTGTATATCCACCAGGTTCATGTAACTCGAAAGGTAGTTTATTCAGAAGCCCATCACCTGACTTGTAGCGCGGCATTTGTGCGAGCGCGCGTGTGTGTGTGTGTGTGTGTTTATTCAGTGAAATACAGAAAGCAACTGATCATTAAATATTTTTTTCGATCATCCCTTCACTAGCAATACCAATCAGACGAACTAGACAAGCCCAGTCAGCACATCCTTTCGTTGTCAACCTCGAAAGATGTTGAACAGCACTTTACCAAGACTCCTTCATCCATAGAACGGCTAGGCTCTGGAATTCATTGCCTGTGGAAGTATTCCCAACAACATATAATCTCGAAAAATTCAAAAAAATTCCAATACCTACCTCCTGTCCCTATCCTCACTAGGAACGCACGATGTTCTTTGAATATTATAGGGATTCCCTTTCGTGCCTTCCAATCGATAAAAAAAAAAAAAAGAAGGTTGTTCCACGAAAAACGACTCTAAATATTGAGCATAATATATTCGAGGGGAAAGAGGAATTCAAAAAACATGGAATATTGTCTCCACATACAATGAGGTGTATTATTGTGGGTCCTTCGAACTGCGGTAAAACCAATGTTATGATAAATCTTCTCGAACATAAGAATGGATTAAAATTTGAGAATATTTATGTGTACTCTGAATCTTTATATGAACCAAAATATGAATATCTAGAGGAATTGATCAAACCAATGAAGGGTATGGGATATTACGCATTCAGTGCCAGTGATAGTATTATGCATCCGTCAGAGGCTAAACCGAATTCGATATTCATAATCGATGATGTTGCATGTGACAACCAAGAAGTAATTCGTGAATACTTCAGTATGTCTAGACACGCACTAGTAGACCCCTTCAACCTAAATCAGAGGTACGCTAAAATCCCTAAACACCTGATCAGAGACAACTGTTACTCCTTAATTTTATTCAAAATGGATGGATTTACGTCACGTTTATGCAGACCATGTGGGGTCAGATATGACATTTGATGAATTAAAAACTATGTGTTCGTTATGCTGGAAGGATCCATATGGTTTTCTTTCAATATTCAAAGATTGTAAGATCAATGAAGGTCGCTATCGGAAAGGAATTGATAATATTATACTCGAATGCCAAATTGAAGGTCTCGAAAGTGAAAATCAAATTCGAATTTTATATAAGTTTGTGTAAAATCATACAAGGATTACAATTTCGAAATTAGTTTTTGAATCAAGTTGATAAAAAGGACACATTACTTCAATATATTATAAATAAGCTCCAGTGACCTATCGTTAAAAGAAGTGCTTTACGCGTTTTTCTTACTGAAGATTGAGTGATAAGTGATAACCAGCAATAAACTGAATAAAGGATACCGTGCACGTGAACTGTTCGCTATCATTATATGGATGCAGAAACAATCACCAAATTCTTCAAGCAATTGCAAGACGAAATTATAAAGAACAAAAAAGAATTGACGAACACAATTGAAGCTAGCGAAACTAGGGTTCTGATGACGATTGAGTCGATAAACGAGAGGGTTGTGCATTTGGAGAAAGGAAATCGAGAACTCCGAAAAAAAAACGAAAGACTAGAGAGGTATATCAAGAAAAATAATATCATCATATTCGGGTAACAAGAACAAGAAGAACTTTCTTTTGATTACTTGAGAAGCGAGCTGAATAATTTATTAGGAATAGATGTTCAAATCTCAGACATAAATAATTTTTACACGCTCCAGAAATCACGAAATAACCCCATCAAAATTGAATTGATATCGTATCTGAAGGAGACAGAAATACTGAGAAACTGTAAGAAATTGAAGCACACAAACATGAGCATCGTTAATGACCTAACCCTAGAGCAGAGAAAAGAAAATACAATTTTGAGAACCCACTTGAAGAAATATCGCGTTAACGCAGAAGTTGAATCATTCATAAAGAGGAATCGGCTGTATGTGGATAACAAAATATCCACAGCTGAACAGTTATTGGAAATCGAATCGAGCACTGATAAATCAGAAGTGCATAGTGCACCAACCACTCCCACAGTTCCTAAATCATTGGATCAGAAAATTGTAAGCGAAGAGGCTACCTACAGTGGATGTATCAATATCACGCCGAAGCTGTTTC